AGATTGCCTGGTTTGAGGCCTAAGAACATGACCTTGGGCAAGTTACTTAACTTCTTTCTGCTTTAGGTTTCTTACATTGTTCAACAGGGTGTAACAATTTTATTTACTTCAGAGATGCAAAGATTAAATTATATAACATAATTGCATAGTGCATATCGAATGTTAGCTCTTTGTATTTTTATGATATAGCTGTGATTATATTTGTGTTTTAAATTTTTTTCTTTAATGTTTTATTTATTTCTGAGAAAGACAGAGAGACAGTGTGAGCAGGGGAGGGTCAGAGGGAGAGAGATACAGAATCTGAAACAGGCTCCAGGCTCTGAGCTGTCAGCACAGAGCCCAGTGCAGGGCTGGAACCCACGAACCATGAGATCATGACCTGAACTGAAGTCGGACACTTAACCGACTGAGCCATCCAGGTGCCCCTATATTTGGTTTTAATAGAATGTGGTTTAGCATTTTTAACATTATAATTTTGAATATATTTGTATATATTTTAGGGAACCATATAAATCTTCATTCCAGAATGTAGCCTTCTTTTTTTTATTTATTTACTTTTTATTTATTTATTTTTTATTTGAGAGAGAGAGAGTGTAAGCAGGGGAGAGGGACAAAGAGATAGAGAGAGAGAGAGAGAGAGAGAGAGAGAGAGAATCTCATGCAGCTCCCTCCTTAGTACAGAGACCAACATGTGGCTCAATCCCACGACCCTGATCATGACCTGAGCAGAAACCAAGAGTCAGACGCTCAACTGACTGACCTTCCCATGTGCCCGTAGCCTGCTTTTTTAAACAGTTAAAATGAATCTATAAGCCATTTGGATAACATAGTAAGTTCTGAAAATCAGGGTAACTTGAATATTAAAAAAAAAAAAATCAATTCTCTTTCCTTCCCTTGTTGGTTGAGACTAGAGTGTATTTTTCTTTTCATGGTGTTCTTTTTGTGTGCGCAGTGCAGCATTGTTCAATAGAATTAGAATGCAATAATTTAAAATTTTCTAGTGACCACATGAAACAAGTAAAAAAATTAGTTTAATTAATTTTATTATATTTTATTTAACCCTATATATCTAAGTTACTATCATTTCAACATATAACTAATATGAAATTATTGTGATATTTGACAGTCTTAGTTTTGCCTTAAGTCTTTGAAATCTACTGTGTATTCCACTTACAACACACTTCAGTTGAGACTGGCCACATTTCAAGTGTCTAATAGGCACATGTGGCTAGTGGTTATAGTATTAGCACAGTTACAGTGTATAAACTACTTTTCAATTTGTCCTTTTAGTTTAGGGAGGGTTGTATGATATTTTGCAACAACTGATAAAGCTAGATGCTTCATCTAATAGGCAGATAGAGATGATAGGTTTGTGATGTGGACAGAGCTATAGGAGGGGCTTGGATTTGGGAGTGGTCAATGAGTGTGACAGTAATTGAAATCTTGAAGTCAAGAACAGAATGAAACCATAATATGCCTGAGGATAAAGCCCCAGGGAATTCCTAGAAAAAGAGCCAAGTTAAAATAGGGAACACACCCTTAGGCTAGAGGGGAGCTGCCAGGTGGTGGCACCCTGGAAAACAGTGGAAGGGAGTTTCAAGGAGACATGGTGGAAGGCATGCCAAGTGCCAAAGTCTAGCAGAATGAGGAATGAAAATAGGCAATTATTAGCAAACCTTAGCAGTGGCTGTTTCAGTAGAGTGATAGCTAAGGAAGCTATGTGGTACTTTGAGCATTGATGGAAGTTCAAGTGAAGGCAGTGAATCTATATTCTTGTTTTATGAAGCTTGGCAGCCTAGTTGGTAGTGTTGAAAGAAGTGTGCTATTTACGAATGAGAAGGAGCCAGTGAGAGAAAGAGATTGAAGGTAGAGGAAAAGGAGAAGAATGATGGAGCCAAGTTTTTAGAAAAGGCACGAATGAATAAGGTTCAGTGCATAGGCAGAGGGGTTAGTCATGGAACAGAAGAGGGTGAATTATGAAATAGGAGAGAAAGCATTATGAGACAGGAGAATTTGTATGAATTTGTATATGATAGAGTGGGTTCTTAGTTGCAGGCAATAGTTCATTTAAGTTGCAGACAGCCAGCTAGTTTAAGCAAAAAGGGATATGTTACACATTGCTTAATTTCCAAAACTGTGAAGGAACTAACCTTGACTGTTAATAAGCTAGGAACAGCATGAGCCAAGGGAAACATCCAGTTATAGTATTTTAATAGAAGATCCACTGTCACTTGTTACTCAGAACCTGTGATACTAGGTATCATTTAATAGAATATCTGACTGATTTTCTCAGAAGAATAACATGCCTTCACTACAGTATTTGATTTCTTTGGAGATGGTCACCACCTTGACTTGGTCACTTCTGTTTTCTGAGTCTTGCGTGGATTTTTCTGATTGTTTGAATCTGGGTCCCCATAGAAGGCATGATGCGAATGCATCTAGAAAATGGAATTTTTAGCTTTGGAGGTTCTATGGTAGAGGAATCTAGAGAGCAAGCTAGAGATGGAGTGCAGCCTAGATCTGGCTCTGATCTGTCATGAATTGGAGTTAAGATTCACCCAGGGCACCAGTCTTCTGAAGGTTTGAGCAGCCTAGGTTGTCCACCTACCAGATGGTTCCCATGTAAGCCTGTTGTTGATTCTGGCTCTTTGGCAGGAGGCCATGTGGACTGTTCCATAGGGCTGTTTGTCCTCATGCTGTGGCAGCTGGCTTCACCCAGAGTGAGTGATCTAAGAGAGCAAGGACCTATCTGTAGTCTCTTTTAGGACCTAGCCTCAGAAGTCAGATACCATCATTTCCAGTGCATTCTGTTTTTCATTCAAACCAGCCCTCATGCAATGAGAAGGAACTACATGAAGGTGTGAATTTTATGAGGTGAGGATTTGGGGGCTCTCTCGGAGGTAGGCTACCATGCCTCCCCACATTCCCCATTGCTCATCTTCCATTAACAGTAGGAATTGACCAAATTTATCTGTAGAAGGTACAAAAAATTGAAAAAAAAAAATAGAAGCGAACTCGCCATGAATTTGGATAGAATATGGTTTTGTGTGGATCTTAAGGGTAACAAGTGCACAGTAGCTGCCAGGCTTTTAAAAGATTCAGAAATGCTGTTCAGTTCCTTGTTCTCAGGCTTTTCCTCTAAAGGCAGAGAGCATATCATAAAATCATAACAGTCTAGGTGTGTGTATTTTGAAGTTTGAAGATAATGAGATTGTGATACACTGTCTTCCAGAATAGCTCTCCCTCTCCTGTCCTCCTCTCTGAAATGAAGAGGTTTGACTCGCTGGCCCTGTGATCCATTCTCAGCCTCCATTCCCTAAGACCCTGACTGACTTTGAGAATTGGAGTGAAAATCTCTGTGACGTACTGGATGGACGTAGGGCATTCTCTAGTACCCCGGTCACATCATCTTATTTCTTTCCTATCATGTTTCACAAATTGAACTGATATTGCTGATGTGTATGTCTCCCTTCACCCTTCTTTCTCTTCCCTAGATCAAGCTCTAGCAGGGGAAGTTTTGTCTTGTTCACCGCTGAGTTCCCAGTAACCAGTGCAGTGCCTGGTGAATGCTCAGAGGGTCAATGTCTAAATGAATTATTTTTTGAGTAAATGTACTACAAGATCATTATTTGTAATAGGCCACCTCAAAAGTTTTGTTTTGTTTTCTCCTTTTACTTGATTTACGTCTTCTCAGCCTTATCTTTTTTGTCCTTTTTTTTTTTTCCCTTTTTTTTCTTCATTTTTGGTGACACTCCAGTTCAGGATTCTTTCTGTGGCTGTGAATGTTTTTGTCTTGTTCACGGTTGGTGCCTGGAAGGTTCTCCATTCTGATTTCTTCCTGATATAGGTTATTTGGGTTTTGTGACTACTGTTTAAGATAATTCTTTTAAGAGATGCTTTTGGCGATCCCATGATTTTGTGCTATGTATACTGTTTGGGAGACACATTTCTTTTCTTTTCTTTTTTTTTAATGTTTTATTTATTTCTAGGAGAGAGAGAGAGAGAGAGAGAGACAGCGTGAACAGGGGAGGGTCAGAGAGAGGGAGTCACAGACTGAAACAGGCTCCAGGCTCTGAGCCGGCAATCAGCAGAGACGCGGGGCTCGAACCCATGAACCGCGAGATCATGACCTAAGCGAAAGTCGGACGCTTAACCGACTAAGCCACCCAGGCGCCCCAGGAGACACATTTCTTATTGCCTTGCTAGCTCTTCCCTTTTATTTACCATACAGATTCTTTTTGGATGAGTTACTGTGTTAGTTTTGATCCTGTCAGGATTGATGCACCTAAGGATTCTGATTTTAATATGCTTCCCACAGCCTAGGAAAGTCACAGTATCCACCCTTGGGTATATTGTAAGGTCTTACTCTCTTCACTGTGCATGGCTTGCAGAGAACACAGCGTTGTGTAAGTTAAGTAACAGTTCACACCTGATATAATGCTCTCCCAGAAAGTAGTGTTCTTACCAGTATTTACCCAGACACAGAAGTGTCTGTGTACCTCCCTTTTTTCCCTCGAGTGAAAACCCCAGACCTGGACTGATTATCCATATGCATTCCAACCTGTCTCTGAGATCCTCTGCAGAGTGTCTTGACAGCTTTTTGGATTATGGAGTTTTTTTACAAATCTGACAAACTATTGACCTTCTCTCCAGAGAGGTATCCATTTACATAAGCCCTCACATTTTACGTATATCATTCAGAAGTGTATAGACTCCTAAAGTTCATCCATGTACCAAGGTTAAGGACCTCTAATCTGAATTCTTGTTCCTCTTCTCTTTGAGTTATAACTGACTTGGGAAAACTTGGAATGATTGAAAAGAAAAGCTCTTAATAGTTACGACTCAAAACATTTCTGTCCTTGGAGGTTCTTCTTCCATCTTGCAATATTCAAGAATCAGACTACTGGATCATACAAATAACCTCTTGTCCAGATAAGGATTCAGAATTTAGGCTGGTCTTAAGACAATATCTTAATTATGTCCTTTGATCTCACAGGTACCTCCGAATTAGACTGGATATATGTGAAGAGGGAAATCACCCTATCTGGATTATCAGGTAAGCAAATGGGACTTTATTTTGATTCTTCCACTGATTCAGTCCTCTGTCAGTATGTGGGCATTTCCTATCATCTGTTATTTCACTGCAGTGTGGGTCAGTGAGATGATAAATGTTTTTTAAGTTTTACCACATTACTTCCTCTGCTGCTTGAAGTCAGATTTCTTTATTTTAATTTTATCTCATTATTATTGCATATACTCACACTTCTATAGCAGATAAAAATTCTCTGCTCTTCTTTTTATGTATATACTTTGGAGAGTTGTGGACAGCTCTCATATTGTTCCTTGGTTGTCCGCCAAGTTATACACATTTAACTCCTTTAATCTTTCTTTGTAATTCAGTCGGCTTGGCTGCTTTTTCTAGATTTTCCCCCATTTCATCTGCATCATTAATAAACAGAAAAAACACGTTATCGCCTGGCTTCTTCTATGTACTTTCATTCATTTTACTTCCTGGTTTTGCCTCAGATTCCTTGTTGAACTGAAGCCAGCTAGACGTCATTCTCTGGGCCACTTTGGCAAGACATGAATGCCTTGCCTACAACTATCAGTGTCCCGTGCAGTAACAGCATCAACGGTATATGCAAGAGGAGAGAAAGGGAACGTGAAAGGACATTGAGGAGCGAAATGATGCATTTTTCGATTCTATGGCAGACCAGCCCATGCCACCCAGAGTAAATCTTCGTACCTGAAACCTTTATCAGAGGGTTTGTCCTCCCCAAGTGTGGTGCAGGGCACTAATTTGAATAATAAGAGAAGCATTTACTGTGTATTGTTTGAAGTTTGGCTATTATTCTCACTCCATTTCTTTTCCACATTCTCCCTCTCCCACCCCTTTTCCCAACACCGATCATGACTTGCGGTCAGAATCTGTGGCCGTGAACAGAACGGGGCGGGGGATCATTTTGTGGGAAATTAGATAGGCTCAGGTGGTAACGCCTCATGCCTCTGTGTGTCACATCAGAGGCAAGTGCTTTAGTTCTTGCTGTTTCTGTAACAGTCGGTCTTCTTTTCACCGCGGATTCAGTGGAGATGTGCAGGAGGAAGGGACAAGTGGACCTTTGGTGCTATTCATCAATGCTGTATTAGTTTCACAACTTTGTTCCTGTCCTGATTGGCAGGGAGAAGCATACTGCTTCTAGATGATGCTGAGCTTAGTGTAAAATATGCCAGCATGGGATCTGGGCTTGTCACAGTTCATTTTTTCTTTTCATTTGGTTTGTAGAAAATGGACTTCTACCTCTACTTATCTTGTACATTAGAGAGAAAAAGGTCATACCTCTAGGAGCTAATGGCTTATTGGTGTTTTGAGTCACCAGATTCAGGTAGTATATTTAGTTGAAGCTTGCAACAGCACACACTTGGCTTTCTTATTTGTGATAGCTTTGCTCCTAGTACAGAATTGAATAGGATGGAAGAGACGGTTTTCCTGTTTGTCTCGTTGGCAACTTTCTAGATGATTTGTGGTTTAATCCTTTAAACATTTTTGATCATTTATCACCTCTTTTCTTGTAAAGGCATAAAATATTCAGATGCTACTGTTATAATCTTTTAATCAGATTATTTTATTTTGGAGAAATCAAGGTCAGAATAACTGCTGATACAGTTGCCTCTGAATAGTGACCTAAAAATTATGACACTTTTATTGGCTCCTTTTTTGCCTGACTTTATGGCCTTCCTTCATCTATCAGATTTTAGATAAGATCATGTGATTGTGAATCACATATTTCTTGGTCTCTGGCTTCTTAAGCAGGTAAGTATGTAACCTGGACCCCCTTTAGGTCTGACTTTTTTTTTTTTTTTAATGTTACTCTCTCATGTGCTTTTAAACTGCTGACAGTGTTGGGCTCAAGCTAATTTCTTTAGGCAATTGATAGATTCTTCAGCATAACTTTTGTTTCTTGAGGTTTTTCAAGACCTGTCAAAGAAAACAAAATGCTAACCTGACTTTAAGGGCCAAAAAAATCCTCCTCCCCCCCCCCTCCCCCGGCCCCGTACTATATTATTCTTTGTTCTCTATGTGCATCAAAGTGACAATCCCACACTGTCTCAATTGAGGGAGTCTAGCACAAAATAAAAAACAGCCTGGCACTGTTCTAGGCTGGCAGCCAAAATGTTTTGTGTAGCTTGGTTCTGGCAGTGGTTTTCCTAGGCAGAGGGTCTACCCTCCCAGTGCCACTGAAGGAAGGCAAGCGGCCTTAGCCTCTCCTGCTTCTCCCTTTTCTTTTTCTTCGTTTTCCCCTTTCTTCGTGTAGAGTACCATCGGCAAGCAACAAAACAACTTTTTCTGATAGAGAAACACCGTTCTCCCCACAACTTCCACGTGTCCTAAGTGGCATTGTTCCTTAGAGGAGCTTGTGTTAAATCTCCCTTTTCCAGCTCTTAGAGATTTCCTTCACAGTTGGCATTTTTGCTGCACTTTCAGAAAACCCTTCTGAATATTGCTAACTTTGGTCCTGTTGACATGGTATTTTTGATTGCTTGGAATCTTCTCTTCCTTCGCAGCTTCTTATTTGAATGGAAACTCTTGAATGATAACTTGCTGGTATTAAATGGCTTTTAATGCCAAGATAGCTCTTGTTGAGACCAAAAAGTCTGCCATTGTTTTCTATTTTTGTCTAAAACTCAGGATTAGCTTACAGCTTTTGCAGATTGAATACTCATTTTTAGAATGTCTGATAAGTTTAGGTAAGCAAGTGAACTTTTGTTAAATATAAAGATGTGCATTTAAAAATTTTTTCCTTTGAAATGAAAATGCAGGGTTGAACAGAGTGCTTTTAGGTTTCCCAGTTCTTTCTAAATTATAGCCAGTGACCTATTATTACAAGGGGTGTGAACATGTAGCATTATGATTTTTAAGTGATGATTTGAGCAGGAGACTAGTTTTTCACTATGAGCAAGCATTCTATGAAATTTCGTAGAATGTTCCTCAAAATGCAAATGTGTTTTCTGTTGTATTAAGCAAAAACAAATGACTGACTTTCAAGTGCTCTATTTTAAAAATTAGTGTTTTGCAGTCAAGATAAGAATAGTTGAATGGCAGAATATGTTTTCTAAGGAGGAGATGGATATTATTTTGACTGATTTTTATCTTGTCAATGATTTTTGGCAATAAGAAAATTACTTTGGGAGGAAAAATTCATGGATTTTTGTTAATGGTATAACAAATGTGACTGAAAAGAAAGTAAATATGGTTCCTGTTAGAATTATTAATGTGAAACATTTTTATATACCATGTATACCAGGAAATAGACCTATTATGCATATATTAAGATAAACTTGTACAATCTAAATGTTCTTTTTTTTTTTTTCCCCTAGAGATTTATTCTTAATTTAGGAGATGCTTTAAAATCACTGGAAGGATTTGTAAACCAGGTATATGAGAAGTATGAATTAAATAAACTCACCTGTTATTTTCTCTCAATCTCAAGATTGAGCGACATATTGGCTCATTAATTTAACAAAACAAACAAGTACTCACATTGCTTTATATGTATAATGCATATGTTAATAAATGCTACAATTCTCCATTCCCCCCAACGGTGGTTTTTTTTTTTTTTTTTTTTTTTTAAACTTGTGTTTAAGTGCCTTTTTCTGTAGAGTAGCTACAATGAATCTGGGTGAGATGCCTGTTAAGTTATATCAGTTAAATCTTTAGGTCAACCTTTTGTGTTTCAGACGTATGACATTTTTTAGAAGGAAAGCCAGTGAAACTTTTTTTTTTCTCTTGGTCCTGTTAAGTGCGTGAGTGTCGGTCTGGAGTTCTCTGTGTCAGGGTGTGATAATATAGACCAAAAGCTTATTCTCTATGTTCATATATACTGTGTAATGTTTATTGCATATTAAATACTATGCATTCACTTTAAATACATTTCTCCAGTCATATAATGTTGATTTGCAATTAAGCCCTTTGTCTTTTCTGTGGTAGGAACATATCTTTCAGTGACTTAGGTATTGCAACACGAATTATTGTATCTATTTGTCTATTCTAACTATACACAGAGGCACAGTACAATATATTTAAGACCTGTAATGTTTGAGTGTTTGAGCAGTTTTTTTAAATAAAAACTATTGAGTTTTTCCTTTTTGTAGGTAATAAATTCTACAGTTTTGTTTCAGAACATATATCAAAGCTTCTGTGTCTGTATGGTTTGACATCATAGGATTTGCAGGAATTACTGTTTAGTAACTTAATCATTATATTTGTAGCAACCTGGAAAAAGAGCTTTATTGAGGGAGACCAGCAAAGTTGGATAAATACTAAATTCATTATTTTAACTAGGATTTGATGTTACTGTATTAAATACCATGTTTATAACTATGAATAGTGTTTTGTTTCATTTGAATATCACTTCAGATTTTAAACATTACTGCAGCGCACGTGATTTGAATATTTTATTTGATATCGAACATTGGTAACCTATAATAACAAATGTTGGTTTCTCAATTTATGTGGTCAAAAATATTAGTAATATTCCCTTACACTTATGGTACATACTTCAGTGTTAAATTTTATTGGAGAGTATTACATGAATGTGTATGTGTTAATTCGGTTGTTTGATTCCCCCTTTAATTTTTGATACATTTTAATTTCCCCTGCCTGACATATTATCATTCTGTAGAATACTGTCACAAGTATTTCATATGTTTTCTGTGGCATCTCACACTGCTCACTTTTTATCCATAGTACCATATGAGTTCCCCCTTTCAGGTTTACGCTGCATATTTTAAGCTGCTGATAGTGTAAGTACATTGCAAGGTAAAGTGACATTTAGCTTTTTGAGCTAGTCTCATTTTTAGCATGAGAGCAGGGTGTTTTTTTTTTCTCCCCTCTACCCTGAATCTTCTCATATTTCCCATTAAAACAAAGAAATTCAACAAACAAGCAAACAAAGAAATTCAGAGATTTGGCTGCAGCAGCAATCGAAATGCATCAAAAAGTGGCTACTACAATACAGTTTTATTAATGAACGATCTACATTGGTTCCAGCTGTGTCC